GTTGCGTCCACCAGCTCATCGAGTTTCCTCTTTGCTGAATTCACTGAGATGCCATTGAATCCCCCACCAGATATGACCATGGCGGAGGGAAACTTCTCCCATCTACTGTGGGTGAACATAGGTTCTTCATCTTCAAAGCTGTCGGGAATATGGAAGTTATCGGGCCTTGAGACGTAGAAGGCTACCTGGAGGGGACTATATTTATCATATGGTTGGGTATCCTCCTCGATTTGTTTAACCTCGTGGGTATCCCAGCGAGGGGCGTCATTTGGTTTGTATTTCTCGAGCCTCCCTGCTTTGATGAGAGTCTCGATGGCATCCTTCAGGTGGACGTAATTTTTGGTCAGGTGACTGTGGTTCCGGTGGTATTGACAATATTTTATTCTGTCGGCCCGGGGCTTTGTAGGAGCGGGTCGAGGACGCCTGACCCCACCGTCTTTGAACTCGGTGTTAGAGCACTCTACAAGGATATGCTCGCGAAAAGCGGTCAACAAGGTGTACTCGGAGAACTGCCTAGAGGATCCTCTGTGTTCGCGGGGCTTACGATGTTTCTCCTCCCTTCTCATATCTCAGTCCTTCGAGAAGGGCCTGCGTCATTGTGCCGTGGGATGTTAGTTGGTCTGCGGTTCCGCAAATCGCAGGCCCTGTTAGCTGCCTCTTTTTCCTCGTAGTCCATGTATGCCCATGCTTTTTTGAGGAGTGCGTCAAAAGACATGGGAGGCTCAATACCGACAACCTTTCTAAATTCAGTGCCCGGGAGGAGTCCCTTCTCGAGCAGGTATTTCTTCATGTGGTTGGTGCATGGGACCTGGATGGCCTTGCAGTTGAACCAATCAATGTACTCTCTGAGGGTCTCATTGCTCCTCTAGACGATTGCCTCGAGGGCGGCCTCAGTATTTGGATGTCAGCGAGATGCAGTGAAGTTGCTGATGAATTGGTTTTTGAGGCCCCTCCATGAGGTGATTGACCCAGGGGAGAGGTTCTTATACCAATCCATGGTTGTTTTCCTCAGCATCATAGGGAACAACCTGCATTTTATTGGGACCCCGGTGTTGTGGTAGTGAAGCATCGCCTCAAATCCGTCGATGTGTTCGACAAGATCAACAATGTTGTCGTACTCCTTCAGTAGGGGAGGCTTCTCCATTACTTTAGGAATGGGAGCCTCCATTATGGCTTGGGATAGTGGACCGCGGGGGTCATCTTCGTCGCTTCTTTCTGAGGAGCAAGAAGGGTACCAGTTGTAGCGACGATCTTTGTGTCGGCCTTGGCCACGGGGAGGGTCCCTTGGCCTGAGAGTGTTTTTCTTCGTTCCCCTTACGCTTTTTAACAGCTTCAGGCTGGTCTCTCTCCAATGTAGGACCTCGCCCAGTGCGGTGGGGAGTAGGGCTTCGAGAATCGTCCCATCTGTGTTTCTGTAGGGGAGATCGGGAGCGGTCCTCGTTTCGTTGGGGAGGAGGAGTTCGAGAGTCAGATCTTCTATGCTTTCTGGGGGCCCGACGAGTCTGTTCTAGCATCATTAGTCCCTCACCCTGTGAGAAGATCATGTAATTAGTCTGGTTGATTTCAGCGAACAGGGCTCTGGTCGTGGCGTCAACATCTTCAGAAACGAGGATCTCCTGATATATATTGGACTCATAATTCTACGGAGGATGGTAGACATCGTCGCGTGGTTGGAGTGGGTGGATGAAGAGGTGGTTTTTCCGTCCTTGTGGTCTTGCTCGAGGGTGGCCGCGTCGGTATTGTCGCCCGTGTTGTTGTGCCTAACGTCGGCGAATTGAACGTTCTGATCATTATTGAAAACTTGGTCGACCATGACAATCAAAAGGTTGGTAAAGAGTTACTTTGGTCTTGAGTGAAAGATGAGGAAGCTGGTTTTCCACAGACGGCGCCACTGATCTTACCTGATCAGAAGGGATTGTCAAGGCCCATGAGCTTTGAGTCGAGCAGTGATCGAATATGAAGTGGGGGGATACCTGCAAGACACTCCGATGTCAAAGTAAGGTTCAGAGTAAGTGCAAGTAAAACATCAGAGTATGGGTGAATGAATGAATATCTGACCCTCTCAAGTGAGAGGGTATTTATAGCCCTAACGTTGGGCCAAGGTATCCATTGTAGTGGAGGCCAGCACGTGGTCTCCAACCTGAATGGACTCCTTCGAATTATCAGGAGGACATGGATGCGGTCTTTTTGGGGTAAAGATAACTCCGTGATATTCGGGGGTGTTGGGTGTCTTCCATACGAGGACCTCCTGAGTGCCGTTGGTCCTCCTTTCCATTCATGTGGTGAGGTTGTCCCTGGAGGACATATCCTGGTCGATGAGAGGAGTGGAATCACTGTCCGACATGATCAAGGGAAGACTCTCTCCTACTGGTTTTCTCCTGCAACATAGTTGGATTGTGCCTTGTATGGTGTTTGAGCCAAGTGCAGGCCCAGTCCAGAATAAATTATATTTTATGAATGACCTTCTTTGGGATTGAGAAGATTTACATCCAGTACATAGTGATTGCAAATCATCTGGTACCAAATGTGACACGGAGTACTATAGGTGAGAACGATTGGAGCTACGTCGACGGTTATATCTGGTGGTTCTTTCGGGTGTCACATCCTTATATAGTACAAGATGTTTCGAGAGAGACTAGAGGAAGAGCAGACTATGTCCAATCATGCTTTTGATGTCTTGCCTAAGTGTCACCATATCATGCAGATTGGGTAGACATGTATTGATGGATGACTCTTTCTGGATGTCTCTAAGGCGAGGGGCGTTGTAGATGCCATGATGGTGGAGGTTCGGGAGGCTCTACAGTACAAGAGGCAACATAGGAACAAGGGGCACAAGGCGAGGCCGAGTCTGAGTCTGTCATACATAGTAGATTATTATATTTGTACTCTTGATACATTTTGAGTTGTATTTTGTTTATCGACTACATTGTAACTTTTGGATTGAATTTATGTAATCTTGACTTATAACTTTATATATGTCATTTTATTCATATCTTTAGTATTGTCGAATCTTACAATACTTTATAACTATTTGATACGAGAAGCATTTTACAATAATCTATGATTATTGCGTGCACAAAATACGGAGATACATCTCCGAATACTTTACAGAAATATATCTCCAAAACAAACTAACGTTAAACAAAAAAAAACATTCGGAGATATATTTTTGAAAACCGAAGAACATTTTAGAAATTATATAAACTCCTTTTCAAATACATTAAGAAATTCCAACAATTTTATACAGTAAGGCTTAAGTGCATTCATTAAACTTCAAAGAAAATTGTTCAAACAAAAAATTAATTTAACTATTATTTTTTCTTTTGGTTTTTTATCACCTATATAGTTTGATTTAGGAATCAGTTATAATATCAAGGGGTTCCGACCTCCTCCCAAAATAAGAGTTGCTGAAGATAAAACTATAGTTTTCCTTACCAAGTTAGAGCCAATCACCATTATACCATTATACCAATTAAGATAGGTTAAAATAATTTTTTTATCTTAAAAGAAACACAACCAAAAAATAGTTTCTGTTTATCATAAAAATCTCTAAAAGATTAATTTTTAAATTTCGCAAATTCCTCGCGACGAGCCACCATCGTCTCCACCACGGTCGCGCCGCACTTTGCAAACAACCCCGATCGTGAAACTCCCTTTCAGAAGCTTCCGCGCTGCATCAAGTTTCGGTTAGTATTCACTTTACTGCTACCAACTTTCTATATTCCTCTTTTCAAACCTTAAGCAATTTCGTTAACTAGAAGGGAATTTGTTATTGTGATTTCATCAAACACTGCATTCATTCTGTGAAAATGTTCCGTACTCTTTATTATTTGCAAATAGATATGAGATGCTCCTTTTACGTTCTCTGTGCTCGAAACATAACATAGATTCCTTCTAATAGATAGATAGGAATTTCTAGGATTCATATTCAGTGGTATGGTTAGAAATTAATTCATGGGGATGACTTCCTGCAAGAGACAAATTCATTCAGCAATCACTGAACCTGATATAATAATAAACCAGATATATTGATTATTCAATAAATTTAAAAAGTAAATAGTCTCTTATAAATAAGACAAGAGGAAGTACCGAGTAGTCAATAGCAGCCAATACCGGTATAGCGGAGCGGAGCGGAGACTGACTGCTATGGGAAGAGCCTTAGCAGTGGAGAATACTATAGCGGCCCCTATAGGCTAAATAGAGGGATAGCTGAGGAAATCAGTTTCTGGCCTGCTATCCTTTTCCCCCTAAAAACCGAAATTACCTCTTAAATTTACAATGTTTTAAGGATAATTTTAGATTTTTCAATCATATTTGAGTTGAGACTCAACCTAAACTTTCCTTTCAGTTTCATAGTAGTTTATGCACTTCAAGAGTCATGTGTGCTTTGATTTATGAATATTTTATGAGTTGAGTTATTTGTTTAGTTTTACATTAAATAAATGTTTATAATTATTAGATGTAATTTGCCCAAAAATTCATCAAATAGAGTGGCCATTCCGCTATACGCTATCCCGCTCTATCCCACTTCTGGGGTCAACCGCTCCGTGCTGCTAGCTTGTATCCGGGAATGACTACTCTGGAGTAATATATAAGGATTTATGATAGTCTCATAAAGGAAACAATATGAATTACAACCATGGCTTAAATTGCAGTCAAGTGTTAATGGAATGGAGGTTAAAATATTATGAACTTTGAGAAAAGGCTCTATGCGCTTAGACTTTTGACAAGGATTCTTTTTATTGTATAGGCGATGGTACTACCCAGAGATCATGCTGATATATATATATATATATATATATATATATATATATATATATATATATATATATATATATATATATATATATATATATATATATATATAAAATTGTTGTGTTTGAAAGTTTATATATATAACATTGATGAAGAAAAACATTGCCTGACTTTTTTTTAATTTTTTTTTTATTATTGTTCTGAAAAACAAAAAGAAAGGCAAGGTGCAAGTGCAAAAAAGAAGAATGAGTAACATGACAACTTTGTCGCAAAAAAGAGAGGTCGATTCCATCATCAGAGATACCATAGATAAGGTTCTCGTCCTTCGCTTTGGTCGTGTCTCTGATCCTATCTGTCTCCACCTTGATCAAATTGTATGCTTTTCTATTCTCACTTTTTTAATTTTTCCTTTAGAAGTTTATTTCATTCCCAATTCAAACCCTTTAGTTTGCATTTGTGGTGTTGATACAGCTTTCAAAAGCCGAAAGAGAGGTGTCCAAGTTCGCAACTGTGGCATTGGTTGATGTTGACTCCCAGGACATTCAAGTTTATGTCAAATATTTTGACATTAATTTAATTCCATCTACGGTATTTTTCTTCAATGCTCATCACATGAAAATGGATTCTGGGTATGATATCATAACTTCATGCGTTTTTATATTCTATTTGTTGGTTACTGTTCTGGTTTTATTAGCAAATTTCTACAACCTTTTTTTTTCTTTTTTCATTTCAATATGTTGGGTAAGTTTGGCTTTTTAAATTTGTGCTCATGTGAAGCATTATCAAATCAAGTATTGGGTATAAAAGAATTGTTGCGACCCAATGTACACCTGAATCAATGAAACTTTTCATTATCTCTGCTGTACAATTAAATTATGCTATCTAAAAAGCTTTAGATGATGGTGTAAATGCAAGGTATTACTTTTTGTATTTTGTATTCTTGTTCTGCAGAGATGATTTAAATTCAAATGTTGGATTGTGTTCTGACTTGTATGAATCAGTTCAGGGGATATGTTTTTTGATACATTGCTTTTACTCTATGTAGGACTGCAGATCATACTAAATGGATTGGTGTTTTTCACAAAAAACAAGACTTCATTGATGTGGTAGAGGTACATATCCTTGTTTCCTGGACTAATAATGTGATTCAGTTGGATCATATCTGGCTGATAATAGCTTATTAAATGCTACTTTTTAAAAGCTAAAATAGTAATGGTATAGATGTAGATGATGATCATATGAAATCCTAAAAATTATGTAGTACAAGTGTGATACTATTTGTAGAGTCTTGTTGATAATAAATTAGCAATAAAGAAAAAAAGTGAACTTACCAACTTTCCATTGCCTTTTCTCTTATCATCAAACTTTTTCCACTAGGTGAGGTTGGTTACATGAATCTAGTAATGCCATATTATCCTCTGTTCCAGTCTAGGGCAGTACCCAACTCACTCTAGTTCAGCTTGATAAAAAATCATCTCGGGATCCTATACCAATGGTTGTTGAATCCATACAACAGACCCCGAGACCCCAAGAAATCCTCTGTAAGATCTCCGCCTGTGAATGTGGTAGAAAAACTGAGGACCATGGAGTGACCCTTCCCTAGCAACATAGAAGAGGGATTCCGATAATGCAATTAGAATGTTGGATTTGACTATCAAGGAATAATGACGCCACGCCTCTGACTTCAGACCAATGACGTCACTCCCTTAGGGAAGCTATACCCAATGAAGGTTTTAGCACCGCGGAACCTAAGATGGGCCTGCCTTAGAAAGACACTTGATCGGAGCAACCAGAAGGAGCACAACCGTCATATCATATCTTGAAGGATTCTATGACATCTTTCCTTTCTCACAGCTCTCCAAAGTAGAGGTTATACGACCCTTGTAACTCTAGAACCCTACTATAATGGTTGAACAAATGTGTCACATCAAGGTACACTATCGACCATTATCAACATTATCAACATGGGTGTTAGAGTATTTGCAAGTACCTTCTTATTAAACCGGAGCACAAAGACATCAAGACCTTCAACGGGATCAACCATCAGATCTTAAACTTCACACCTCATTTGTGAACCGGAAAGATCCAAGTCGAATCACTCTTTTATGAAACAAATTCAAAGATAAACCATTTATTTTGTAATTTTCTCTTAATGTATTTTTGGTAGTCTAAATTACCTTATTCAAGTCTAACTTTTGGCCTTTCTTTCATCTAGTGAACTCTTTACTGCTGTTTCTATGGGGTTTCTCCACATATGTCCAAATTACCTTATTAGAAGAAATTCTGTCATGTTTTCTGTGGGAGCCATTTCATTTTCATAGACTTTGATGCCATTTGATCTCTTCATAATCATAGATTTTTAATCATGATGCCATACATTTTAATTGATTGCATCTTTCTTTAGCAAAACCAATCTAGTAGTTTGTTTTGTTTGTTTCTGTTTTAGCTTTTTTATCTGATAGATATGAAAGTTGACACCAATTTAATAAGTTAGGATTTTTGGAAATGTTTGCTTCCAAATATTTGTTAGGAATATTCACGAAACTGATTTTACATTTCTACAGACAATATTTAGAGGAGCGATGAATGGAAAGCTCATTGTGACTTGTCCTCTCCCGGCAGAAAGGATACCAAAATACCAATTACTGTACAAAGATGTCTAAAATTATACTCATACCACTCTCACCTTGCTGTAGCAGATTGGGGGAAATTTTAGAAGCTTTCTTCTCCCTATCCATTGAAGAATCAAGCCTTGGGAAAAATCTTAGAGCTTCGGTGGACCATCATCATCTCCAACATCCTAGTTCCATCTCTACTTTTTCATGTGATTTTAGTGTTCCTTTTGATTTGGGATAATGAATCATTGAAGGATTCTTGCGTAATATGAATTATAGTGCTCCAATACTAGTTCTATTGTTTATTAACCAATTACTTTCGTGTTTAATGTTTTTCATTGATAAGTCATCTTTGAATTGATTTTAGATTCGAACTCACAATTTAGAAATTTGGTTTATCTGTATTCATGGCTAATGATCACACTTTAGAAGTTGTTGGGATTGGTACTGTAAGAATAAAGACACATGATGGTACTATTCACAAAATACAAGGGGCACGTCATGCAAAGGACTTGAAGAAGAATTTGTTGTCTATTGGGAAATTTGATGACCTCGGGTGCAAGATCCACACCGAAGGTGGAAAGTTAAAAGTAGTAAAGGGAAACGTTGTGATGATGAAAACAGAAAAGCTCACAAATAATCTATACATGCTTGTAGGGGATACGTTGTAAGATGCTAATGCATTGGTTGCGGAAGCGAGCCAAGAAGAAACAACAATGGTGTGATATCATAAACTAGGCCATATGTTAGAATGTGGTTTGAAAGTTCTTGTGAAACAAAATCTCTTACTCGGGCTTAAGATAGTGAATTTGTCTTTCCGTGAGTACTGTGTGACAAGCAAGCAACACATATTGAAGTTTTCTAGAGTAACTACTAGAAGCAAATGCATACTTGACTTAATACATTCTGATGTGTGGGAGTCACCACAAATATCTATGGGAGGAGCAAAATATTTTGTGTCATTTATTGATGACCACTCCAAGAGATTATGGATGTACCCAATCAAGAAGAAGTCAAATGTGTTTACAGTATTCAAGGAACTCAAAGCACAAGAGGAACTTGAAACTGGTAAAAGAATAAAGTGTTTAAGAACATACAACGGAGGAGAATGTGTAGATGGTGACTTTCTGACATTCTGCAAACATGAAGGTATTACAAGACAGTTCATCATTCCACATACGCCTCAAAAGAATGGTGTAGCAGGGAGAATGAATATAACTCTCCTAGATAGAACAAGAGCCATGTTTAGAACAACAGGAGTGGCCAAGTCTTTATGGGCAGAACACGTGAAAATTTTCTGTTACGTGATCAATCAATCTCTATCAACTGCAATTGGTTTGAAAACACTAATGGAGATTTGGAACGGAAAGCCACCTGATTATTGTTCCTTACATGTTTTTGGATGTACTGCGTACGCGTTGTACAACTCCTAAGAAAGAACAAAGCTAGATCCAAAGTCTAGAAAATGTATATTCTTAGATTATGTTGACAACGTGAAGGGGTCTCGCTTGTGGGATCCCACTACTCGTAAGCTTGTTGTTAGCAGAGATGTAGTCTTTGCAGAAAATGAACTGCAAAGTGAGCAAAAACATGACAACACTGCCAAAGAAACTACTGCAATCGAGATAAAAAATAAAGTCTAAAGAAGATGATTCTTCTGAAGTAGAACCAGAGGAACAAGCACCAGATGAGTCCAACAATACACATGTTTGACAATCATCACGTCAGATTATAACACCAACCTGACATTCAGACTATGTAATGACAACTCATGATGCATATTGTCTTTTAACAGAAGAAAGGGAGCCAACAACCTTTCAGGAGGCTGAAAATGGCTCAGATGCTTCTCTGTGGATAATAGCAATGCATGAAGAAATGGAATCCTTGTATAGAAATAAAACATGGGAATTTATTGAACTTCCAGAGGGTCGGAAAGCCATCGAGAACATATGGGTGTACAAGATCGAATGTGATGGTAATGATCAAGTAGAACGATATCGTGCAAGACTGGTGGTTAAAGGGTATGCTCAGAAAAAAGGTATTGATTTCAATGAAATATTCTCCCCAGTTGTTAGACTCACTATTATCAGAATAGTTATGTCTATGTGTGTTGCATTTGATTTACATCTTGAACAATTAGATGTAAAAACTACTTTTCATCACAGAGAAATTGAAGAAGAAATATATATGCTGCAACCAAAAGGTTTTGAAGAACAAGGAAAGGAAAATTTGGTTTGCAGGTTGACCAAATCTTTGTACGGTCTAAAACAGGCGCCCAGATGTTGGTACAAGAGATTTAATTCTTTTATAGTTAGCCTTGGATACAACTGACTTAATTCAGACCATTGTACATACTACAATAGGTTTGGTAATAATGATTTTATCATTTTATTGTTGTATGTGGATGACATGTTGGTGGTAGGTCCCAACAAAGATCAAGTCCAAGAATTGAAGGCACGGTTGGTTAGGGAGTTTGATATGAAGGACTTGAGGCCTACAAACAAGATTTTAGGGATGCAAGTTCACCGAGATGGAAAATATAAGAAGATTTAGCTTTCACAAAGAAGTTATCTACGAAAAGTTTTATGGCGCTTCAACTTGCAAGACTGTAAGCCAATGTCTACCCCACTTCCTATCATTTATAAATTATCCTCAAGTATGAATCTTAACAATAAAGCAGAGAGGATGGAAATGTCTCGAGTACCCTTTGCATCAGCAGTGGGAAGACTTATGTATGACATGATATGTACAAGACCAGACATTGCACAAGTATTGGGAGCGGTCAGTCGATTTATGGCGGATCCTGGTAAAGAGCATTGGGATGCTGTTAAGCGAATCGTGAGATATATAAAAGGAACCATAGATATTGCTTTATGTTTCAAAGGACTGGAATTTATTGTCAGAGGTTATGTTGATTCCGATTTTGCAGGTGATCTTGATAAAAGAAGATTTACTACTGGTTATGTGTTCACACTTGCAAGAGGAGCAGTAAGTTGGCTATCAAAACTACAAACAGTCGTAGCTCTATCTACTACATAAGTTGAATATATGACAGCTACACAAGCTTGCAAGTAAGCTATTTGGATAGAAAGGATAATGGAAGAACTCAGGCACAATCAACAATAAATTGTTGTGTATTGTGACAGTCAGAGTGCTTTACACATTGCAAAGAATCCATCCTTTCATTTGAGAACAAAGCACATAGGTGTTCAATACCATTTTGTTCGAGAAGTAGTTGAGCAAGTGAGTGTCGATATGCAGAAAATTCACACCAAAGGCAATTTAGCAGATGTTATGACAAAGTCAATCAATGCTGAAAAATTTACTTGGTGTCGATCCTCCTTCGGCATGATAGAAAGTTTACAAAATTGACTTTAAGTGGGAGATTGTGAAGGTATAAAGTCACATTTAGGTGATAAAGTTTTTATCATAGAAATTCTAAGAATAAGAATTAGTTTCTCTTGTACCTTCAATTAGAATAGTAACAATAGCTATATAAATAAAAACTATTGTGTATTTATTATGACATCTATATTTAAAGAAATATCCAAAAGGAATTAAATTTTTCATCTTTATTTTAGTTGTGTAATAATATTATGTTCTTCTGATACCCTACCTTTTACTCATTATTCCAACTATTTATTAATTAAAGATAACTTAAAAGATACTGGTTCTTATCTAGCATCATTTTGGAATCTCAACGAAGGTTTAAATGTATTTTTATTCTAATTACATACTTTTAATTTTTTAGTCTCTTTAAAAAACTTTAATCTTTTGATTCTTCAAATTTACTTATCTAGCACCATTTTGGAATTTTGGCGAAGTTTTAAATGTATTTTTATTCTCTAGTTACATGCTTTTAACTTTTTAGTCTTTTTTAATTTTTTTTAATCTTTTGATTCTTTAACTTTATTTTTGATAAAAATTTTTGGTCCCATTCAATTTTATATATATATATATATATATATATATATATATATATATATATATATATATATATATATATATATATATATATATATATATATATATATATATATATATATATATATATATATATATATATATATATATATATATATATATATATATATATATATATAATAAAATAAAATGGGACCAAAAAATTCTATCAAAAATAAAGTTAAAGAATCAAAAGATTAAAATCTTTTAAATATATATTTAAATTTTTTTTAATCTTTTGATTTTTTAACTTTATTTTTGATAGAATTTTTTGGTTATAATTGAATGGGACCAAAAAATTTTATCTGAAGTAAAGTTAAAAAATCAAAAGATTAAAATTTTTTTAAATATATATATTTAAAAGATTTTAATCTTTTGACTCTTTAACTTTATTTCTGATAGAATTTTTTGGTCTCGTATTGTTGTATGAGTCTCGTCTCAATTTATATTATACGTATTAATAATTAAATTATTAAATATGACACCATATTTTCAGTTAGATAATATAATATAGCTATAACTTATAATTATTTATTAAATTTTAACTAATGTGTTTGGAATATCAAACATAACATAATTTATTTTGCAGTTCATAAATATTCACATTCACGTAGTTTCAATTACATACTAATAATATATACCAACTTTTAAGCATTGATTCGTATTTATAATAAATGGTACAACCTTTTTTATAACTTCAATTATATAAAATAGAAACAAAAGAGATAATTAAAAGAATCTCATAGATACATTCACATCTACATGTGAATTTAGATGAGTTAACAAATTCTAGTTGAATCTAAATGAGTTAATTCTAAAATTTTATTAAACCCATTTTATATATTAGCCCATTTTCCAAACCTAAAATGCATGACAACTCCCAGTCAAATTTCAGTTTTAAAACTTTCTTATTATATCATATTTACATTTTTTCACAACCTACAATGTATGATAGCTCCTGGTTAAATTTCAATTTTAGAACTTTATTTTAGATCATATTTACAAATGTATGACAGTACCCCATCAAAAATTAATAAACTATTTAAATATGCTCATGCAAATTCAACATGAAGATTAAAACTAAA